AACAACCATTGCACGGAAGTACCTTGTAAAAAAAGGATTAAGCTGGAACCAGTGGGTGAAGACTTTCGAAATGTGTTGTTTAGAAGGTAAGCACCCAAACTGAGTAAGCTAAACCTGCGAATCACTGAGCAATTAAACAGTCAAAGCATAGACACAGGAAAAAGGATCTAGGTTGAATGTGCAAAGGGGTAAAAGAACGTAATGTTTACAGCAAAATTTCATATGTCAAACAATTCAAGATTTGATCTATACATAAAGCTCACACTATACCAATGTTATGATTTGCAAGTTCATTGGCAGTAAAGATGTAACAATCAGCCTTCCACCACTATCTAAATGTAATCCTACACCTTTTATTAATTACAAAGCAACCCAAAGATGGTACATCTATAGATCGATTAAATCTACTAATTGCAGTAAATTTTGTATTGATATTGTGACCAAGAATTGTCGGTTACCTCAGCATGAAGCTTGAAATCTCTTTGGAAGTGTTGTGATCTTCACTAGGCAGGATCTTCGCTTTAGAGTCTGAAATGATAACAGTAAAGACTTCTCCCATTTTCAAATGCGGAGAAAGACTAAAAGAGCATATAACAGTAATGAACATAAACGGAAAATTATGTTCTTGTTGTTGATTATTTATACCATCTCAATATTTCCTTACTAAAGGAAGAAACTAACTGTCGAGGATGAGAAAGGGCTCTTGCATTTGCCTATGATGGATCCTGATGGCTTGATTCTGAACAATGTTTCTCACTGAAGCTAGCAAGCATGTGATTTACAACTGATGGTCAAACAATGGATAAACTTGGCCGAAACTCTGGCTCTACACCCTTTAAGAGCTCATCACACACATATAACCCACATTCCATAAAATTGTAAACTCCAAGGGTACTCTAATTATGTATTAATTGCAACTTATTCATCAATCCTTTTTTTACTTTAATATCAAAGTTCCATATTTCTCTCATCAAGTAATATCAAACAAATATTCTATCAAAGCATCCAACGATCATTTCCACAACCAGAAAAATCCAATCTTTACTCAAAACAATTACAAATGCAGCAGCCATGTAACATCATTGAGGTAGCTAAACCGATCCTAGGCTATTTTCATGAACCAACACCAATCCAGAAAATAGCATGGCAGGTGGAAAGTTTGCAATATAATTACATTGTCATATAAATAGGAAGAACCATTCCAGCCACTGACCAATTAAGAAGGGCACAACTAAAAGCTGAAAGTGAATAGATTGGCAGGTGCCAAAGTTAGAAACCCATTGCAATTTGTTTTTTCAATAGGTTTTACAAAAAAGCAACTCAAAATGTACATAATAGAACTACACAGTAATTAATGGTACCTGAACAACAAACCCAAAGTTGTGACTACATCAGAATTCTTCATTTCATCTCGGCATCTCTGTATGGCTGGTTGCATCCTGCAAGTGACAATCGAGATGAGTCGGTAACAAAAGCATATAACACCCTCTTATGCATTTTTTTAATTCTCATTTTAAGACCATATAAATACCCAAGCAAAGATATTAATGAATAACCCAATGTAAAAAGATAAAGAGCTGCAAAAACTCTGAACTTAATAAAGAAAGCAGGAAAACTTATATAACAATAAAAATGTCTCGTTATGGGACCTCACCTGACACCAACACCACCACAACAAAAACAAAAGGGAAACTTAAGCAGAGTGAGCCTATCTGAAAGCAAGGAAAGCGAGTAGAGGGTAAACCCCAAATCAGGCCAAACCTAAATTGAAAACATGGAAGCAGATCGAATTGAATAGCTTCTGCAGTGCTCCCATCCCATTCATCACACCAAGACACCGTCGGAAGCTCTAGCTTCACTTTTGCCTACAACAAAAGAGTAACAAAAGGAAATAAAGTGATTAAAATGGAAAATCACAATCCTTCATCTTTTGTTTGTACTGCTCTACTAACTTGCACACCACTGCTAAGAAGACAAGCAAATCACAATCCTGAAGTGATTGTAGAAAATCACAATTTCCAAATCATTCAAATGCAGCTGGATTACTAAGTTTATAAAGTTATGGTAACCGCAACCTACTTAACCTGTAATTTAATCCATTTGTTATTGTCTTCTTATACTAAGATTGCAAACCAAACAAAATTTAAGCCATCTAAAAGCTACTAAAATGAAATTCCAATGACAAACATCAGAACACTATCAATTCAAAAGGACAATACAGGTAACTCTAAGTTAACAGCGAGGGCATGACCTAGACATGAATCCTCACCTCCAATCAATATATAACTTGTCACAGACCAAGGCCAATTCAAACAAAATTTCACACAAAGACGGAATAATATTTGTAAGTATATAATACCATTAAAAGATTATATCCCAAGCATTGTCAGCAACCAATCCATGAAAATCTAAAGTAATTCTAAGTATTACAAATTTACGGCTATTATTAGAAACCTGATAATGAATTTAAGAACCAACAACGCTTAACAAATTAATAGTCTCATAGTTCCTTAACCCAAAATCTAGGTACCATGAATAAAAAAAGGACATATTTCCTGGAAAGAGAGGCAAAATAGAAGAGATTGCATGCAAGCATTCCTGGTCATGATTCTCCTCTGCAGCGTCGAGGTCACTGAGTTGCAGCATAGAAGCAAGAATTTTAAACATAGCGATAATCAAGAGCATAGAGAGGCGACAAAGGCAGAAAGTGATACACATTAGCAGGCAAAGAACAGAGTTTCGTCGACGAAAGTAAAACACAACAATGTTTGTGAGTGCAAAGAAAATAATAGAAAACTGAATTCAAGTGAGAGCACAAAGAGGCGACAAAGCAAGAATTGCAGGTGAATTGCCAAAAAGATTGGTTAAGAAGCAAGAAGGTAAATAGATTTTGAAATCCAGACATCCTAAATTCCAAACAACTCACCAAAATTACCAAAAGTCAGGAAAATTACAGCAACCTCCCCAATACCGTGGATGCAACAACACATCATCCAGGCATCTGATGTTCCGAAAATTCATAGAGCCTGTCAACCAACTCGAAATCATTCAGCTGATGGAAACAAATGAAATTATTCCTAACAATTACAACATTTATAAAGCATATAAAAGGTTGATTCACAGATATTATTTTTAATGATTATGTCAGGTTAATACTAAGGCAGTAGAAGCTTACTCTGCCGAGATCAAGGAAAATAAATTCTAAATTCATTACCATCAACTCTAAAAACGGATCCATAAGTGGGAAGTCTTATTGTCCCACTAATAACCAAGTATTCTAATCTCATGGAACCAAGTTCAGTAGGTCTCAAAATTAGAACGACAGTGACAAAAATGTACGTTCAATACTTTGAATTATGTCTGTAAAAGCTTAAAAAAGAGAATACTTTGGGGTTTACGTAGTTCATCAGTGTTCACTGAGCAGCTTAAGAAAGCATAATCAACCTCACCGAAAGTCAAACAGAATGAAAATGGCAGTGGACTGTAGGGGTCGAGCAAAAAACAAAAAAAAGAACATATAAAAGATTTTTAATGAGAAATAGCAATTATTATGAACGTGTAAATTTAGAGTTCATGAGAATAGTGCCAAGTCTAGCCTTGGCATCCTGATAAGTTGTTCTTGATCACCATCTCTCTAAGGTTACAAATTCAACACACAACAAAATGGCAACATGCTGATACCCCATGTTCATTCTGTCATATCTTGAAATGGTTTTTGCCAATCACTTTTTTCATTATTCGTCTTAGTGGCAAAAATAAACACACAAAGAAAAGGGCAACACAACCAAAATCGAATACTAATTTAACATGTAGATAATTGCATTATTGGCAACACTTGTATCAGTACTTACATTCAGTAGGTAGCTCCAATAGTCTCCACTTCATTGAGATATGAGGAATGTGATGTTAAATGAAGAAGAATAAGCGATACTGCTGTCAAGTAGAGTAGTCTAGTTAGTATAGTCATATAAGGGGGGAACAACCCCTTAAGGGACATAATTACCAACAAAGGGGACAAATCTGCAATGTAAAGGCAACTGCACACAAAATGCTGATCACGACATTATGTGTGATGGTTCAATTTTGTCCAGTCCTCAACCTTTATATAACATGAGCATTTAATTTTCTTATTAACTTTGCCAAGAATGTAGAACTGTTAGTGGCACTACCTTCTCAAAAACACTTAGAAAGCAAGCAATATATTATTGCACAGCAACATTCATAAACCGTAAAAATATTCAGATTCATGAAAATATTAAGTTCAAAGGTGGAGGAAAATAAAGATCACTTCCGTCATAGCAAAACTGCAAAATTAACAGAGAACAGTGGCTAACCTGGACCTACTTCAAAAGCACATATATGCTTTCTGGAGTTGCTGCTCCCAATCAACTGTCCTCCCCAGAAGTTATAGTACAGGTACTCCAGTTTTTGGTTAATTCAAAGGCAAGCATTACCTGCACATCTATGCACCACATACATTTAATAGATAACCAAGACTACCATTTTGATCTCAATAAGAAAAAGAACACAGACCTAGAAATCCCATGAAGAGGTTACACGTAAGGGAACTGACATTTTTTTATGGAGTAAGACTCAAAGGACAGTTAGAATAGGGGAAGTCCCCTAACTATGTTTCCCCAAAATTATTAATCAACCTGCCATCTGTGAAGGACCTCTACCGAGTTTTCCACACTCGAAAATCAAACGAAAGGGAAAAAGAAAGTTAAATGGGTCGATCATGGATGTCAATGCAGATATAGAACCCAAAATACTAAAAAGGTAAAATCGAGAGCTAACGTACGTTTATACAACTCCCTTGACTCTTCTCGCAGTAAATCTGGAAGATTGAGAAAGAGAGTCCTAACATAGAAGTTCCTCCACCGAATGAATCTTTGAGAACAACAAAACTTATTAGATCAAAGTGAAACGGAGGGAGAAACTTCAAATGATGTTTCTGGTTCGCTTGCCCACTCTGAGGACTCTAAAGTTCAAATCGATTGTCAACTCCAAAACACGGAATCGCTATCTGAAATAGCAAACAAAAGCGATGAATCAGAAAGTTAAAACAGGACAGATTACCATGGGGAGAAGGGAAAAAAAGAGAAGGAAAATAGACATACAAAATTACCTTCGCCTATGCCTAGCCACTGTCTCAAGAGGACATGATTACGACGATGTTGCGGACGGTGTCTTACCTCCCAAATCCCCATCAGCGAATTCGATTATAAAATCTCCAAGACCAGACGTGCTCTTCTGAAACAGGAAAAGAGAGCATGATCACATTCAAGAAAAATCAGAAAAACAATAACCTAAAAACGAAAACCCAAAACATCGAACCTGCTTCTCCCCCAACCCGACCGTCAATCTCTCAAATCCAACAATCAATCAAAACCTGGAACCCAACTCATATATGATTGGGGGATGGGAGGAAAAAGCCAAGAAATTGCCATTCAGTAACCGCAGAAAAAAAGGAAAAAATGGCAGGGGAAAGGAGAAGGAGGGTGGGGGAGAGAGGGACCTGAGTTCACGATGACGGGTGGGAAGGTTTCGCAAGGCAGACATCTAATGGTCCAGCAGCATTTCGCTGAGATTCCACGATCAACTGAGGTCCCAGAAAATCCCATCAACTCAAAGGGCAAGAGAATCAGCATGCTCTGGCTTGAGAATCGGCCACACACCATCTTGGGATTTCCGCTTCGTCGGAGAGTGGTCCTCACAACCGAGACTTCTTCGTGAGGAACCGTTTGGGCAACAGAAACCAGAGAACATAATCAAGAAGATGCATCTAATCATAGCAAATGAGAGAGATGAAGCAAAACCATCAATATCGACTTATCACCTTCAAACGTCAGGGCAAGCAAATCTGGTTTCCTTCCGTCGCCAATCTCGTTCTCCCCTATGGACCCTCTTCAACATGGATTTATAACCCAAACCACAGATCTTCAGATTGGTAGCTTTTACCTGGAATTGATGACCATCTCCGGGCCTTATGAACTCGGTGCTGGTATCTTATAATAATGCATAGGTTGAGAGTGATGGAGAATGAATCTGTCTAGCAAAAAGAAAAAAACCATGAGAAACCCACCTTACGGTTCTGTGTATCCTCCAATTTCTCTCGCCCTCCAAATTAGCCAATTTAAAGAAGAACGAACAGAGTGAAAAGAGCTGAGAAAAAGAGTGGAAAGAGCTGAAGAGACGCTAACCAACTCCTGATTACTCCGAGAGTCCTCTCTCCTCAAGACTGACGCGAGTTTTATCTCAACCAGAAAAGTAAAAAACCAAAGAGGGAAAGTGAAAAGTCGAGAAGAGAGTATAATTAAATAAGAGCGAACCTGGAGGGGAGAGTTTAGAGAAGAGAAGAACGAACAAAATATAGGGATCTCACCCTTCTCTAGTTCCCCTCTCTTGCGGAATCCTCATATGAAAGTTGGCTTTCCTCACCTCTTCTCCCAACCACAGTTCTGAATCCCAGATAACAAACCTAAAATCCAAACACAGAGAAGGTTGTTGAAAAACACACAAAACCTGCAAGATCACAGTCGATAAAGGAGAAAGAGACCTGAGATTCACCTTTCGGCCGCTCAAGTTCAGCTTCTCCGGTGACCGCTCCAAGCTACTGAATCTTCGAATCTTCTCTTCGTCGCCGTAGGTCATCGAACGATTCTCTGGTCGGCGTTTCCCTACCCCGGGTCTGAGATGAGAGAGAGAGAGAGAGAGAGAGAGAGAGAGAGAGAGAGAGAGAGGAAGAGATGAGGTGAGACTGAGGTTTCTGCTCGAAGCCATAGCGTAGAGAGAAGGGAGTTGGAGAAGGAGTGTGAGTGAAAGAGAGAGAGGGAGTGAAGGAGAGAGAACATCGTTGGGTTTGTTTCAGTTTCTAGAAAGGGTAATCCAAGCACTGGTAGGTGAAATAAGTGGACCAAAATAAAACACCAACGTGGCCTTTAGATCCACCAATAACCCACTAAAAATATCTCTGCATCTCTTTTTTTTCTTGGGCCATACACTTGAGACCGGCGCGATTTCCGTGGCAGATGAAAGGAGCAAGAGAGAAGGCCGAAGCTGCTGCAGAACGTGGCAAAGCAGGCCCACCACAGTGCATCAACCAATCACAGGTCTGTTAATAGTAAATCGTGTCTTGGTAAACAGTAAAAGTAGTCTGCCTGAAAAGAGATCGGCTGTTTGTGCAAATTATTCACTCTACCGAATTCAACTCACATAAACCAGGTCGAAATAATTTAAGCGTGTAAAACACGTTGGCAACCCAAAATTTGAAAAAAATCGAGTTCAACTCGCTTTAACCAGGTCTAATACCATTAATTTGGGTAAATTAGAAGCTTAATTGAGAAAAGCTCCTCTACGATCCAATGATTTAAACGTGCAAAAACTCGGTGTTAAGCCAAAATTTGTCAACACTTATTTGAATTTGGGTTCAATGTCATAAAAGGGTTTGTAAAATCGATAAAACGCGTCCCTCATCCGAAATTTTGAAACACTGGATTCAACTCGCTTTTACTGGCTTGATAAAGCGGTTCGAGTTTTTAACAAAAAATCCACACATGACCGAACCCGACAATTACAAAAGCGGGTAAAACCCGTTCCCGACCCTAAATTCATCAACACTGGATTCAACTCGCTTTGACTGGCTTGACAAACCGCACCGGGTTTTCAACAAAAAAACCACACCCACTCAACCCGTCAATTACAAAAGTGGGTAAAACTCGTCCCGACCCAAAAAATTTCAACACTGGATTCAACTCGTTTTGACCGGCTTGATAAAGCGGGGCGAGATTTTTAACAAAATGCACACCCAACCCATCAAAAGCGGATAAAATTTGTTCATGACCCAAAATTCGGCAACAACGGGACCGGGTTGAATTAGCTTGAATATAGTTCTTAACAAAAGGCACACACGACCCAATTCGTTATTTATAAAAGTTGATAAAATTTGTTGACGACCAAAAGTTCGGCAACACTGAAACGAATCGAATTAGATCGAGTACACATGAATTTAGGTACAATTGTAATGAAAAGAAATAATTAAAACATAAGATTAATGGATTTATTAATAAAAAGTAAAAAGTAAACAATAAAAAAATCATTGTTGATGTGACTATAAGTAATAGTGCACATCTTACTTGGCCAAGCAAAAGTATTTAACAAAGCGATCTAGTACGAAAATCGAAGCAAGGCAAAAGGTAGGAAAGCAACAAAGAAATCGGTAACGACAACTGTAAAGCGGTCTTGAACAATCTTCTGCATACTGCGCTCACAACACAAAAAGCGAAGTCGAGTAAAAGGAATGTTTCGTAGGAAAATTGAAGTAAGGCTAAAGGTAGAAAAGCAACAAAGAAATCGGTACCGACAATTGTAAAGCGGTACGAACACAATAATCTTTTGCGTCTTGCGTTTACAACACAAAAAGCGAGGTTGGACAACAGGCACCAAACGCAACAAACGCGGAAGCAAACGAATCAAACGGTCATAGGAAACAAAATTAAACAAAAAGATAAATTTATGCATGTTGCGCTTACAGCACAAAAAGCGAATTCGAGCAAAAGGTACGTTTTCGTTGGGAAATCGAAGCAAGGCAAAAGGAAGAAAAGCAACAAAGAAATCGGTAACGACAATTATAAAGCGGTCTCGAACATGTTGCGTTTAAAAACAAAAAAAATGAAGTCGAGCAACAGACACAACGCAACAAACGCGCTAGTAAACGAACCAAACAATCATAGAAAACAAAAACACACTAACAAACTAAAAGACAATAACAAAAAGGCCCACAAACCAATCATTTGCATGATGTGACTATAAGTAATAGTAACTCTTTGCTTGTTCTTTAATAAGAAGAATTAACTTGGTCTCGGCAATATAAGAATGGATTAGGTATACCAATTAATACCGATCGATAACTTGAGAAATTGTCACTTGAACCAAGTCGTCTTCATATCACAGCATGCGTACGTAGAACCGGTAAAAATGAAGACTATATCAATGAACTTTTATGTTACAATAATCCAAACGAATGCTGGGTTAATTTGGTCCTCCAAAGTCAACATGAGACTAGTTCAACTGCATTTTACTGATTGTAACCTATAAATAGCCAGCAATCCCGGTAGGATATCTCACTCTTCACCAACAACAAAGAAACTGATCAGATATCCACACGATCCATCGAGTAGTAGCTCAAACATTGATAGTTAGCATTATGGGCGGAGCTTATCAGCTACAGGTTGCTGCTACTTTTCTTCTTCTTGCTGCAATTGCATCGATTGCGGCGGCCTTTGATCCAAGCCCTCTTCAGGACTTCTGTGTCGCCATTGACGACCCCAAGCTCGGAGGTATATATGCATATATCCCGCTCCTCAATCGAATCTCTAGCAAATTAAATTCAATACTATATATATGATCATGATTCAACTGCCTAATGGGATGTTCCTGTGTATATGTATGCAGTTTTTGTGAATGGGAAGTTCTGCAATGACCCAATGCAAGCCAAAGCTGACGACTTCACATTTAGTGGACTGGATAGGGCAGGAAACACATCCAACGCAGTTGGCTCCAACGTCACTTTGGTTAATGTCGACCGACTCAAAGGGCTCAACACTCTTGGTATCTCTTTGGCTCGTATTGACTATGCACCTTACGGCGGCTTGAACCCTCCTCACACCCACCCTCGTGCCACCGAAATTCTCGTAGTGGTCAAGGGTAGTCTCTATGTTGGCTTTGTCACCTCAAACCCTCCCAAGCTATTGACGAAAACTCTAAACGTCGGTGATGTTTTCGTCTTCCCAATTGGCCTCATCCACTTCCAACTAAACGTGGCAAATACAAACGCCATTGCTTTTGCGGGGTTAAGCAGCCAAAATCCTGGCACAATCACTATTGCTAATGCTGTTTTCGGTTCTGATCCGGCCATCAATCCTGATGTCCTCACCAAGGCGTTTCAAGTTGACAAGAACGTGGTGAATTATCTTCAAAAGCAATTCTGGCCTGAGAATTGATAGGTAGAAAAACGAGGTTCCATGCTACTACATGAACCCAGAGTTTCCTGTGTTACACGTGTGTACTTATTGCTTTTTTTCTTTTCACCAGTACCTACGCTTCATGGTTATTTTGCTTGTATGTTTACAGATATGGAGAACAAATTAAATAAAAAGGCTATAATATGATCCAAAGGCATGTACTTTTTGACATGATCATTTTTCATAAATTATTGCATTGAGTGACAAAAAATGAGATATTCCTTTAAGTGATTGCTGAAATTAACAATATCTTGGTAGTAGCACTACAAAACGGGATGGGTTGAATTATAACCACCACACTTAACAAGTTGTTTAAGTGAGTACTGGCTATTAAATTAATTTTAAGTGGTTATAAATTTTGTAAAGGTTATTGGTTAGTTAAGGATAATTATGGTATTTTAAAAAACTAATTTATGTATTTAACAATAAAAATTACTAAAAAAATTAATGAACCCACTCGTGTCGTATGCCTTTGCGACGTCTTCTACTATCTTCTTTTTGCCTACGCCTTTTACTCCATACCCGTCCCGTTTTTTAAGGGTTACGGGTACCCATATTCTTATAATAGTATTAACAGATGAGACTTGGGATTGTACATTGCTAATATGAGTACCCGCGGATTACGAGAAAATACTGATTTAGGTAATATTGATACCTGTTATACCCATTCAAAATACAAAGGCAGTAGGCAAAAACGGAAAGCCTATTAGGCCGTCTCCAACTCCAAATCTTCAATTGTCTTTTTTGAAGCCCAGCCCAGCTAAAAGTTGAGAACCCATTTGGCCATTTCGACCCTTTCGCTTCCCTTCCCTTGACCAGTTGACCCTTGCCAACCGATGAGCACGACTACACAAGACCACCACGAGTGACCTAGCTCGGCCTCTGAGCTCTCCCTCTCCTCACAACAGCTGACAGAGGCGCAGTTTGTAGTCACCGTGTAGCTCGTAACCACCCCCACGGACGAAGGGGAAACATCGCCGCCGCACCCAATCTAACTCCCCGCTTGAAGTTTCTGCGCCTGCATTCAACATCTCCGAGTTCGATTGCTGCGCCTCCATTCAAGTTCAACTCTTCAATTCCATCTGCCACAAGTCAGTAGAAGGTAGAGACTTTCTTGCCTTTCTCTCTTTGATTATAGTATTCACAATATGTGATGTAATTGTAATGTAAGGCGTAACCCTCCCCTCCCCCCTTATTATGCAGCGAAACAAAGGCATCATATGTCTTGTGATAATGACATCCGAAAGGGATATCAAATTTGGATTAAACTAATTCAGGATCCTTGTACATTCATTAAGCTTTCTACCAAAATGATTTTCTAATTGTTATAAATTATAATACCCTCAGGAATAATTAAAAACAAAGACAACCACTACACTAAACTACAGTAGGCTCATGATTTGAGAATTAGACACTTTGATCATCGCATGCCACACTATTAGCTAAGCTGTCAGCTGTTTATTAAGGATTCCTCTGCTGGTTACAATTTCTGGTTAGTGGTTACATAGGAATGCAATTTACTGAAGTTTGTTTGTTTTGTTCGAATGAAGGTTGTTTGGTGCCTTTACTGAAGTTGAAGGTTGCTTGTTGTTGTTTACAAAAGCCAGAACAACAATAGCTTGTAGAAGCAGA